AAAGATTTACCCTAGAAGCAAAAAACGCATTCAAAAAAACTGTTATTTGATGAGAATCTTTTTTTAATAATGTCCTTCTTTTTAGCCTTTCTTCTGCTGACTTGTACTCAGGAAAAATCATTCCTTACTCAGGAGAATTCTGAATTAACAAGACCTGGGCATTCGATTATGAAAAGCCAGTTCAATAGAGGTCCAAATCGATGAAAAGTATCGTTGCAGTGGTTGCTTCAGTTTAAGCAATCGAATGGGAACATGCACTTGTATTCTGGGTTATCGAGCCGGTGAAATGTTTTTTCCGAGAAATCTGTTCAAGAGTTCATGAATGAACCATACCTTAACTAACGATGCGAATATTTCGTCAAATGGTATTCGAACATGCCGCGGAGAGTTGTTGGCTTTGGAACCATCCGATTCGGGCTGCACAGCTTCAGATGCGCATAACTGTTCAGGTTGTTGTTGTTGGTGTAAATCGATATTACCAATACCGATCGTGAATAATGGTGAATCCCACCTGTTCTTGCCATCCGGTTTCTCGAATCGCATTAATATATCCTCTATTTTATTGTCTTCATATCTAGAAAAGGTTCGTCAAACTAATTGGAATAGCAGTGTTCAGGATCCGAAAAGACTTTGAATTAAACTGAAAAGGCAACGTTCGCAAAGCACAACATAATGAACAATATTTCTCGATGAGGCAGTGGTGAGGGAGAAAAATTGATGCAGTGATTTCGTTTCACGTTAGCAGCTTGCATATTCCTAGCAACTCACTACGAGAGGCGGCCTTTCTATGAACAAATTCGTTTCCAAGTGTCGTGATCATTTTCTGAACTGAAAGCTTTTTTGAAGTTCCCAACTTCAAAGCTTTTTTTGAAGCTTCAAAAGTTTCGAATCACTTTTGACTGACTGACTAACTTCGACATCATCTGGTTACTAACCGTTCAGATTCATCATTTTTTTGTGAGTCAAGCCATTTTGCAGTCACGGCATCAGTCTCGCAAAA